TATATATATATATATATATATATATATATATATATATATATATATAGAGAGAGAGAGAGAGAGAGAGAGAGAGAGAGAGAGAGAGAGAGAGAGATACTGTCGACCGCGGCCCGGGCTACCACTAGGACGGGAGGCCCTTGGCCTAGGCCCGTAGCATGAGAGCCTATAGCTGGGCAGGCAGAGGTCAGATGCAGGATCATGGATGAGGTATCTTTTTGTGATTGGTTGTTGCCACTTGTTGGCACTATTGGGAGTCTTGAGAGTACTGTCAGAGAGTGAGAAACACGGTTTAAACACGCAGTGTTATCTCCACAGTCGTGCATAGTGCTTTCAGGAATTTTTCGCTGCCTACTCAGTTTGTGTGCATCGTGTACTATTTCTGTGTTGTCAGGTAGACAGAGGTCCCTCCTTGTATAGTCTGTGCTGCATGTATGGGCGTGCATGTTATTGTCTGCGTGTGTGTGTTGCACGAACTTACACCGTTCACGAAGAATTGATAATTGACAAACAAGTTGAAACAACCAAGTTCACAATAGTTCTGCACAAAGTCGCAGGAATGTTATATTTTTTGGCTTCGTGTTTTCTTTTCAGGCAGGTCATGTAGTCTTGTGCAGTCACAAACATCTCAATGTCCACACACTTAATTTTGAAATTGTTAAATTACCCAAAGGGTCGCTGACTCGCTGGACCAAGTATCCAACACGGGATGCTCCCAAGACTACCCAGCATATGGATATATATATATATAATACTATATGTATATGTATATTTACATATATATCCTTCTGTATATGCATATTTTTTTGTATTTGTATATATCCTTGCTGTATATATATGTATATGTATATGTATATTTATATATATATACATATATATACATTCTATTTGACGATATATATCTCTTCCTTATATCTATATGTTTATGTATATACATATGTATATATATGTATATGTATATGTATATATCCTTCTGTATGTATATGTATATGTATATGTATATATATATTTATATATATATATAAGTCGGTGAAACTCCGGCGAAACATTGGACGCAAAGTCACGAGCTATCACGTCAAGTTTTGGTTTTCTTTGTTTTTCTTTTTTGTTTCGATGCATTTCATTGGACGTGTGGGGGGTTTTCTTTACAGTTCCCGCTGGGAAACTACCAAGCCGTCGACGGCCGCGCTGGGTCACTGGAGGCCACACGTGATTGAAATCGTGAATGGAGTGGTAAAATACTGTGTACTGCGCACAGCACGGAGGCGCAGCCTGGAGGGGGGGGGGAGGGGGGAATAGAGAGCCCTAGTGAGTGTCTGAATCCGGACGTGTTTCCACGCAGAGGTGCATAGAAGTAGATCAATGACAATTTTTCGCATCTGTCCACAAACACGTCCACATTCAGACACTTACTACAAGTCTACAACCCTCTTTGATAGTGGGATCTCGCCCCAACTCTCGGGCGTGCACATGCGTGCGCAATAGACGTCTACAGCCGCGGAACGTCGATAGCAGCAGTGCAGAAAAGAGGAAAAAACGAAAAAAGACAAACGAAAAAAGGACCAAATAGCCCGAAAAAGAAAATTGGCGTCGTCCGGCGTCCACCCACAAAAAATGCGGGCGCGGTCGCCCCAACTCCAAGCACAAGGGCGACCGCCGCCGCGACCGGTCGGTATTATGACAACGACCGCACCCTTGTGCTGCAGATTACAACCCCCTCTACGCCGTTCTAAGCCCCTAAACAGGTCGCCGACATTTCCCGATGGGGAAATCCGCTTCTGCAAAAAATGCAACCGGGTATAGCGCAGCCTCCTGGCTGCGAACTTCGCCAATGGGTCCAGGCCCCTGCCCAGTAAATCCCACCCGGGGCTGACACCCCGGCACCGACCCCCGTCCCCGACCCCCGTCCCC